CATCACGTTTACTTGCATGGGAACATGAAGGACAGCTGTGGAATTACCAGACACCTCATTGACTTTGTCTGAAGCTTTCCGCTGCTCAGGAATAATAAACAAACTGCAGCCCCTCTCCTCGGGGAGAGTCTCAGAGGAGAAAGAAACCCATAAATCACTCTTACACAGCCATGCAAGAGCGCATGGGGAGCATGGGGAGATCCCGCAGGACAGGTGAGCGGACTATACCAATTTCCGCACCGCCCTGAGAGGCACAGGGACTCTTCACTGGTTTCTAACACCCAAACTGGGAAGTGTAGCCACAGCTGTAAAAATCTGTTCTGACGACTGGCGTGTCTGGGCTATAACTACACAGCCATCACCTGCATTGCCGCCTTTGGTAAGAGCTGGACATTTGCTGAGGTGTAGCTTATTTCTGAAGAGGATGATAAGGAGCTATACACCCAAAGTCTTAGATTTCTATGGTGGTTTTCACGTCATTTGTCCATCCAAATGTTGAATACAATATTGGGATGTGCAGTTGCCAGGTTTTTCAAATCAGTAATTTAGTCTCAACAGAATCTCTTATTGCTTTCTATTTACCCCTGAAAGGAACTATATCGATGATTTTGTTACTCCTGTATGTTCTGCTTTTACATGGAGTCTATATTTTGTCATATATTTAGCACTGTATCCAAGGGTCGATGCCATTTGCTAGGCACCACTTTGGTTGGATGTGAGAGAATATTACCGCAGCATTTATCACAGGGTGTATTACACCTCCTTTCCTGAAAGCTCAGAGGAGTCTCTGAAATGCGATTCATCTGTCTCTTGATGCTCTAGATGATGTCTAAAGGCGCAGGCCTTTCCAAATGAAAAAGCAGCGATATGAATTTAACATTGAGATGTCCTTTAGTCGTATTTATTCTCATTAGTGTTTAAATGAATGGGTAAGTGTGTACTCACTCACTTCTCACCGTACAACTCACGTATCATACGTTATTTTGGTGATGAAAATCCTACCGTGGGGAGGATAACAGCTGAGACTGAATGAATTTCTCTAAGCTCCCCACTTTGCTTTATTTTACAATGAAAGTCTTACATAATTAAAGGGGTTAAAAACATCAGAACAAAGTCCTGGAATAACGTAATGTAATATAGATAGATACCTGTGTGTAAAAAGAGGTTATGCTTTACGTAGGTCTCAATGTGGTTAGAGAAACAAATAATAAATGTACATAAGAGAAACTAGTATCCACTAACATTGATTTAGGAAAAAAAAACACATTTCCAACCTTTCTTTAATTCAGCATAGTGTATACTAATTCATTATGACCCAGAAATTATCATTTCTTGAAAATTAATTCAATACCTAACTAGGACCCAAATGTGTCAACACCACACAGAAAATGACATCAGATGGTCATCATTTCATATGCCATAATTCAATAGCTTCCTTACACGTTTCTGCTACAATCAAAATATACTTCTCAGCCAAGTTACTAAAATAATGCTAATGCGGCTCTAAATTCACAGTGGCCATGATGTGCCATTTCATTTTGCTGTACAAAAATATTTCATTTATAAACAACCCAACAGAGTAATAAACCCTAAGACAGAATCACAGTATGTGTGTCTTCCTGAGAGTTTTAAACTGTCAATTCAATATGGCCACAGGAGGTCTTGCTGGATAATGGTGTGCATTTTTCAGCATGGAATTACAAATATCAACTTGATTTTGATTTTCCATTATGCATCTTCAATGAAACTGTAAAATACTTTGAATCACAAGTATTTTATGTTTAGAGTTTTGCCACCAGTAGCAAATTAAAACAGTAAGCTGTAGATGAAGGCATTAACTTGAACCGTGTTCTAAAATGGCATAAACTGGGTCTAAGCGTGGAGAAACCGCTGACTCTCAGTCCCCTCTCCTCCATGAAATAGGCACGTTGGCCAGTTTCAGTAGAGCAGAGAGCTGGAAATTGTTGAATGAGCCTAAGAATGACCGACTCTGAGAGTTTTATGGACCCTGAGGTGTCTGTGTAAATAGAGAGGAAAATAGATAGGGTGATATTTAACCTTGGAAAATACTGAATAGCAGGGAAATTGTTTTAAATATTTCACCTTCTTCCTCCCTAGAATAGTCTCAGAATGGGTATCTAGAAAACACTTTTGTTTACATTTCAGATACAGGGTGTAGGAATGAAGGCCAAAACGCTAGAAATGAGAATATGTAAAACAGCCTCACTGACGGGGGGCTGGTGTCCTGCAGAACAGCTCCCTTTAGACAGGACCCGCACCGACTGTGCTCACACCCGGCCTTGCAGAGGGCGCTGGCTCGCCAGGCCTGCTGGGAAAGGGCCGAGGCCTGCCCGGAATGGCTGCCTAAGGAGACTGTGTCCTCAGGCCCCAAAGCCACACACCATTTCTAACCAGGACCCTGGTTCCTCAGATCCATCGCCAGATCCGCGGTGATGAAGACTTGGACCTGTTTTTCCCTCAGACTTTCGGTTTTGCCATTAACAGTTAGGTCTCCGACCCATTCGGGGTACATTTTGCCTGAGCCTAGGGAGGAGCCCAGTGCTTTGTTTTGCCTTCCTGCTTCCGTTGTGGGCAGCAGAGTATGGAAGACCCTCTTCTACCTGCATTGAACGGGCTTCCGGTCCCGCTCAAAATTGAATTGCTTTGTTTTCTTTTTATGTTCCACTTCTCTCATTCATATTTTTGTTGTTGTTATTAATAACAACTTTTTTCTTGCTGTGTCCTGTACTGTTTTAAAAATAAGGAAACGTGAATCCTCTGCATGAATGCATTTATAACTGTTTGTTTTTCTTTTTGTTTGTGTCTGTTTTGTTTTGGGTTTTGAAGGCCATTTGTTATTCCATGTGAGCTTTAGTATTAAATTGTTTGTTTGGTTGTTTGTTTTTCCCTGTACCAGGTGCTGAACTGAGGGTCTTACGCTTCCCAGTCATGGAAGGCACCACTGAGCTAGACCCCTAGCACTGTTGAATTTTTTATTTCTTCCGAAACAGCCAGTGGTGAAGGGGTTAAACTCTGTAGATAAGTTGGAATGATTTTCACTACTTAACTATTTAAATTTTCCAATCAATGAAAATTCTATTCATTAAAAATACCATCTGTAGGGCTGGAGATTTAGTTCAGTGGCACCGTGCCTGACTGGCAAGTGTGAGGTCTTCAGTTTGATTCCCGGTACTGAAAATAAAAGAAAACAAAACAAAATACCTTCTGCAAGGCTTATCATCAACATTTTGTAGTTTTCAATTTTCAAATCTTGCCCTTCCTCAGATAAATTTATTTTTCTGTATTTTATTCTTTAAATGTCAATGAAATCCACTGCCTAATTTTTTAAATGAATCCTTGGGGTGGAGACACACCACTGATTTCATGTTTCAATTTTATTCTCTTCAAGTTTGCTGGATTTGTTAATTTAAGAAGCTTTTTTCCTTTATTTGGTATGAAATCTTTGAAATTTTTGAATATAAATCATCTGCTTTGTGAATGGAGATAATTTCAGAACTTCCTTTCCAAATTTTTGTCTTCTTTTCATTTTAATGATGTTTCTCTGGGTGAAATACTTTAAAATATTGACTAGAGTGCTGAAGGTTGACTTCATTTTCTTTCTGTCTTCTTAAGCGAGAAATCCTTGATCTCTCACAATGAGTTAGTAGGTTTCCTGTAGGTTTCATATAAAACAATATTGAAGATGTTCACTCTTCTAGTTTTACAGTGTGCTTTTTCCTGTCATAAAATTTTGTTCTTTGTCAAGTGCTTTTTTAGTAAATTGGAGATTTTTTTTTTCTGCATTACTTTGTTACAGACTGCCATTTGTTAGAATTTCTATGAATTATTGTGATATATAAAACTTGGTGATAAATTATCATCTATTAAAATATACTACTAATTTTGATTTTTCTCATTTTTAATAAGAAATATGTATCCAGAGTATTCTTGTTTTAATGGTGACTGCTTTGGCAAAAGTTGATTTCAAGTTACTACAGGATTCTTAGAGTCAGAAAGTGTTCCAGTCTTTTGTGTTGTCTGAAGTCTTTTTCAGTGAGCTGGTTACAGTTATTGCATACTTTGTTTATTGAAGTATAATGACTTTTTATTTTTCTATTGCTTTATTTATTTAATTTTAGTCACTCTATCTTTCTATTACTTGTATCTCAAAGTGGAACTAATATGTAAAGTATGGATTCTGGTTTTTTCTTTGCTCTTTTTTGTTATTGTTTTTGTTTTTTTGAGACAGAGTCTGTCTCACTATGTAGTTGAGACTGACCTGGAACTCATTATGTAGCCCAGGCTGGTCTCGAACTCACAGCAATCCTCCTGCCTCAACCTCCCAAGTGCTGGGATTATAGGTCTGCACCACCACGCCCAGCTTTGGATTCTATTTAGATAAAATCTTTGCTGTGAATCCTCCACATGAATGTGCATGATTCACATTTTATCTCCTTAAATCATTTCAGTACCTAGGATGTAAAGTTAACCTTCAGATTAAGATACTAAATAATGTATGTATTCTAAGGTTTGGTGTCTGTATTTTAATAATCAAATAATATACGGGATACATTTTGAGCAGAATATGAAAATCACATGCTGAAAAAATTTTGCCCATCTGCAGTAAAATTATTCAGTGAAGTTCATGATAAGTTCTCTGGCTTGTTTTGACTTTAGCTTATGTGCTTTTACCACTGACCTGCATGCAAATATGGGTAGAGAAGTGGACATAATTATTTAATATGTATGATATTATACATTTACATAAAAACAATTTCAATTTCTCAACTTTCATGATTTATGTCAGAATCTTGAAGTTGGAAATATGGAATGGTCTTACAGTGATGCATGCATAAAAGCACAGACAGACACACATTACATCTACACATATTTCATAACACAATTACTATGTGTGAGCATAATTGTATATGTACTCCTGGGTCATATCTAGTAGAAGTGAGTGATTCTTCTCATGTGTGTTCCTGGTGCAGCCTACCCAAATGGCCTACGTGGACAGACACAATCTAACGACACTGGATGAATTCATTCTCACGGGAATCACACATCTCCCTGAGCTGCAGGCTCCCCTCTTCGGACTTTTCCTTACTGTGTACACGATCTCAGTGGTGGGAAACCTGGGCTTGATCATCCTCACCAACACCGATTCGAGGCTGCAGACGCCCATGTACTTTTTTCTTCAACACTTGGCTTTCACTGATCTTGGCTACTCAACAGCTGTGGGTCCCAAAATGTTAATAAATTTTGTAGATAAACCTACAATCTCCTACAACTGGTGTGCCACACAGCTAGCGTTCTTCGATGTGTTCATCGTTAGTGAACTTTGCATTATCTCAGCCATGGCCTGTGACCGCTACGTGGCCATCTGCAACCCTCTGCTCTACACAGTGGTGATGTCACCCAGGGTGTGCTGGGTGCTGGTCACAGTCCCTTATCTCTACAGCACCTTTCTCTCTCTGATAGTCACCATCAAAATTTTCCTCTCATCCTTCTGTGGCAATAATGTCATTCGTCATTTCTACTGTGACAGTCTTCCCTTGTTAACTTTGATTTGCTCAGGCACGCGAGAAGTTGAGCTGATACTACTGATCTTTTCAGCATTTAATTTGGTTTCCTCTCTTCTGATAGTCCTTGTTTCCTACACTCTGATCCTCACCGCCATCCTCAGGATGAACTCAGCAGACGGTAGGCACAAGGCCTTCTCCACCTGCGGGTCTCACCTGACAGTGGTGGTCGTCTTGTACGGGACCCTATTCTTCATGTATGTGCAGCCCAGGTCCAGTCACTCCTTTGACACTGACAAATTGGCCTCTGTGTTCTACACCCTGGTGATTCCCATGCTGAACCCCATGGTCTACAGCCTGAGGAACAGAGAGGTCAAAGGTGCCCTGCACAGGATATGGAGCAATCTGTGCAAACTCTGTTTGTAAATTCACTTTAGAATCTAAGTATGCAAAATCAGGATGTATACTTCCATGGATTATACATAATAAACCATGAAAGGAACTATGCAGAAATTGAACAGAAATCTTGTTCACTTAAAAAGCTGGGAAACTGAAGAAGAATGTTGATACTAGAACTGGGAGTAAAATATTTTCTTCTTTGTGCTGCCTTGGTTTCTGCTTTTCAGCCATTTCTCTAACTGCTTAAAGGCAGTTCATATTGCGAAGAGTGATATTCTGTTTACCAATTTAAACATGAATCAAGTTTACAGAATAATTGCCTTTCCACTTACAAGTACACTGATTTTTTTTTTGACCAAACACCTGGACACCATCATGAAGACAAGACATATAAACTTCACTACCACCGTGAAGAAGGATTAATCATAACCAAATATAAAAGAACATAAGCCAGAAAAACTAGTCTAAATCATGTGCCACGGGCTACAAATTGCTCTGGACAATTAGTCAACATCCCCTTCATCCTATTAAGCTTTCAAATACTTCTGGGATAACCAAAAAATTGCTTGGTTTTTTTTTTCTCAGAGTCTTGAAGAGTCAGATAATTTATAAATGGTTCTCACTGTGCTATGCTAAGAAACAACACTGGCAGTCAAATCAGAGGGTCTAGTACAGGTAAAAAGCCATGAGGTTTCTATTTCAGAGTGCTAAATAAATCCAAATATCTGAAGATTCAGTGACATATGCAAGAATGTGTGGGGGAAAAAAACCCAAAAAATACCTGAACTTCAGTTTCTGTGGGCATTCTAGACCTTGGTAATAACTTAGCAAACAAGCCTTTGTCTTCAGATTAATTTTGAAAGAGCCAATTTTGTCAAGTAAATTAACAGGGAGGTGCTTCGTAGAAAACTACAATAATTTTTACAAATGCTTATAAGCACTGTGATATGTCATTTATACACTCTATGCATGTTTAATCATAGAAAAAAATAGAGGTCAATGTAGGAATAAGTCATGCCTTAGGAAGGAATCAGCAATTTAAAATATACAATGGCCGAGTTGTAAAATTTGAAATCCCGAGTTTCTCATTTGATATTCTTCCAAATCCTTTATCATTTAGTAGCTCTAGGCCCTTCTTGTGTCCTTCCAAAAACATAATTTCAAATATTTAAATACATTTATTAACATTTATTTTTCTGATGTTTTGAAAAGGAAACAATTAAAAAAGTGTTTCTCACTCATTTTAAGATGGGTAATTAAAGCTTTGGCTATAAAGGGCTTTGTAAAACTGACCTGTAGAGTAACCCTTTGAGGGATGAGATGCTCAGTTTCCAGTGGGATTTAACTGAGGGCAGATATAATTTTCTGAGTGTATTGGTAAAAAAAAATAGATAATCAAACTAGAAAGAATACTATGAAAATTATGTTACATGGAACTCTAAAGCTGGAGAGAAGACGTTCTACTTTCCCCATCTTAAAGGAAGTCAGCCCTTACCTATACAATATTTCCTGAATCTCTCATCAGTGTATATATCAAGATATACGTGGCTTCCTAGTCAACCTGCAGAAATATTTTCTCTAACTTCTTTCCAGTGATTCTGACTGAAGAAAACTGATTCATAACAAGTTAAGAAATCTAAGCTCACAAATTAAGCAATGTTTCATGTGAATTAAGAGTAGATATCCTACAGGTTAATTTTATAAACACACCTTTTCTGTGTGTTCTTTGTATTCTATTAAGGACCAAATTAATTTTTTAAAGAAATTATTTGTTATCCAGGCATGGTGGTACAAGCCTGTAATCCCAGCACTTCGGAGGCTGAGGCAGGGGGATCACTATGAGTTCAAGGATAGCCTGAACTACACAGCAAGACCCTGTCTTAAAAAATAATAAATACATAAAATAATTTGTTGATATTCACAAATTTTTAAGCCACTGGTTGCTAGAACTTAGCCTGATATCTTTATTTTATTTTATGTTTCTTTTGACATCTTGATTCTAGTATGGTAAATTTTGAAATGGTGACTTATTAGGAATTACCCAGCTACCTTTTTATCCATGTATGCAAATGTTTGTCTGAATTAAATAATCATAAGATGAATGGGTTTTAAGTGGCCTTAATGTGAAAATTAAATGTGTGTTTCCAAACCAAACCAAAACTATATACACATATATGCACAAAAAATCGTGTGTGTATATTAACTTGCTAGTATGCTATGTGTACTATAGTGATTTTAAGACTTTGGGAAGAACAATCTGTTTATGAAAAGTGAATATGAAATTCCACTGATTAAACCAATTTTAGGAGTTTATATTCTCTCAATATGTTAATCAGAAAATCAGTTATACAAAAGAACACCAGACTGATAGTCAAATTACAAGGAGAAGTGGAAAGAGTAAGTCTTAGATTCCTGAATAACACATTACACTGCCTGTTTATTATCACAATCTGAAGAAATTAAGCCACATAGGAATTTGTATGTACGTAAGAAAATACCATTTTGCCTAACACATTACCTCCAGTTAAAACCAAAGGAAGCTCACTGTGTACTTGCTGTTAAAGATCTATTACAGACACCATAAATACATTTGTACCTTTAATTCTAACTTCTTCCAGGAAACCTGGAAGGAAAAGTGGCTTTTCTTAATGTATATAAAGACAATGAGGCTATTTACAAAATTTATCTGAAACATTATGCATTAGATACATTATGCATTCCTAGGATGCTTGCCTAGTTGAAAGCAAATATTCTCTAATGTGTGATTTGTTAGCATTTTCCTTATTTACACACTCACGTCTGGCGTCATTCAACTCTGGTGAACATTTTACATGTAGGGCTTTTCGAAGACGATCTTTAAATGTAGGGATTCTAATGATACAGTTGCATCATTGTATTTGATTTTGAATATTCTGTTATGCAATCAATTTATGTGCCATGCTGTACTGTGACTGTGATTTCATAAATGTAATCCTATATTTTCATTACATTAAATAAAAACAGAAAAGTTAAATAACACTTTATATACGTAACACCTAAAACGCTTACTACTTTTATCTTTCTTCATCTATACCCACATTCATAGTTATATATAACCTATATTTACATGTATCTATACCTTGTATCTACATCACCTATAATGATTTTTAAACCATATCTATATTAACATTTCCTCCAGACTAATGTTTGGTAGCATGTATGGATTCTCATAATTAAAAGCCAGTATGAGCCACACCCTAAATATGACGAGTGAAGTGGCTTCAGATTTTCCCAGCATGTGTTAACAAACAAGGCTTCCTGGACTGAATGCCACTAACATATCTCTGTGGCCAGGTCTATCCCTACTTCTGTTTCTCTATCACTAACTCTATCACTAACTCGATCTGTTTACATATTTGTGAATGTTTTACTTCTGGAAGGGAGATTTGTTTTAAGATACATTAAATTGAAAATTTGAATTGATTTAATGTGTTGTATCTTTGTATATTATATCACTGCTTGGTGCTTTTTAAAAGCTATCGACTATTCTGCCATCTCTATCGAGAACTGGTTTTATAAAAGTCTGAATGGAGGGGCACAACCTCACTGCAGTGACCCGAGTTCATCCTGCTGGGCGTCGCTGATCATCCCTAGCCGCAGGCTCCACTGTTTGCGCTGTTCCTTGTCATCTACCCAGTCTCAGTGACGGACATCTTGGGAACCATTACCCTCACCAAGGTGGACTCCAAGGTACAACACCTATGGACGTTTTCCTCAGACTCTGGGCTTTTGCTGATCTCAGTTATTCAACAACTGTGGGATGTTAAATGTTAGTAACTTTGGTTGTGGACCAGAATTCAGTCTTCTATAATCTGTGTGCCATACAAAGTACTTTCTATATCGTGTTCATCTCACCATCAGTGAGCTTTATATTCTGTCGGTGATGTCCTATGGCCGCTACATGACCATCTATACTTCTGCGCTACACAGTGGACATGTCCGGGGGTATGTGGAGGGCCGGTGGTCATGGTCTATGTCTACAGCACGTGTCTTCCACTTCTGCTCACTGTAACGATGTTTACTCCACCCTTCTGTGGCTACAATATCATCAGCCATTTCTACCGTGATTGTGTCCCTTTAGTATCTTTGCTCTCCTTGAACACCCACGAACTTGAAGTGATCATTCTCATCTCTTCGGTTTCTTACTTCATTTCATCCCTGTTGTATCTTACCTGCTCATCCTCACAGCCATTCTCAGGAGGAAGTTGGCTGAGGCCAGGAACAAGGGCTTCTCCACCTGTGGATCTCATCTAACCGTGGTCACAGTGTTTCTCAGGACGCCAATATTTGTGTATGTGAACCCCAAGCCCAGTTACTCCTTATTTTACGCTCTGGTTGTTCCTACATTGAGTCCCTTGATCTACAACTTGAGGAACACAGATGTAAAATGTGCTCAAAGCACAACTTACTCAATATTTTTTTCTTAAAATTGATGTAGAAAATAATCATGGAAAATCTTGATATGGATGTTAATGTTTATGTTTTGATATTAGAGTAGATGCTGTTGCTGCTCTGTGGCTGGTTAGTCTGTTTTTGCCCCTCAGAAATTATTATTTAGGGGAACAAGAAGCCTCTTCATTCTCCAAAGACAGTGAAGGGGCAGCATCAGCAAGAAAAGACTCTAAGAAGCAGAACTTATCCACATGCGGATGTAGCAAGATTCACTGGCTTCAGCTTCCTTTGTGTAAAAGGGATGATTAGGCAGCAGGAGGGAAGCTCAAGATCTTCCACTTTGGAGTTCCAGAGAAGCTTACTCCCATCTGCACCGCTGCCAGAGAGAGAGCTGTACCCTATTTCTGCGACTTTCCCCTGCAAGGTTATCCCCCTGACCTTGGCACTGTTGAACGGGAGTAGGATTGCCATCCTCCAATTCTTGCCCTTCCACCAGGCTGACAGCGGTGTCGGGAAAGATGGCGATGACTGTGACCCCACCTGGGAAACCAGTGCGGTAAGAGGCCAGGCTGAGCTGCCATTTTAAGAGCTCATGCCCTGTTTGCAGCAACCACAGGACTGTGTGAAGCCACGTTGTTTTGAAAAGTGTCTTAATTGGTCAACTATATTTTTCTCTGAACATTTGGAATGCCTTCATTCTGACCTGTTCTGTCTGTGACTGCTAGAAAACAATTTCGTCAGTATAAAAACACTCCATTTATGCAACACTGAAAAACAAATAGTTCTGGATTTGCCACATGTAGGAATAGGCAAGCACATTGCAGACTGAGAGATGGGGTTCTACTTCCAAATATTCTCATGATCGATTATATGACTGTGAGCTACTTAAGAGCCACGTGTCTTCTGAATGTGGCATCAATAATGTGCAGCCTGTACGGATGGAGCGGTAAAACTTGACACCACAGATTGATCTGCTACATGTTTCAGATCTGTGAAAATACAAGGAACTGACATCATTGAATTCATGTGACTTTTAGAGGCTGAAGACTGCCTGGAACAAGTGTGTGTAATTAATATGGATTTGAAATTAACCTGAGAAATATTTGATATCTACGGCCCATTTCACAGCATCTTTTACCTCTTTGTTCCTGAGGCTGTAAATCAGTGGGTTTAACATGGGAATCACTAATGTATAGAACACAGAAACCACCTTTTCCTGCTGCACAGAATACCGGGAGCTTGGCTGAATGTAATTAAAGCTTAAGGTGCCATAGAATATGGTCACAGCAGTCAGGTGAGAGGTGCAGGTGGAGAAGGCTTTCCGTCTGCCTGAAGCTGAGCAGATTCGCAGAATAGCAAAGGCAATGAATATGTAGGAAATGATCACAATCAAGAAAGTGGCCATTGCGATGACTCCAGAGAAGAGTAAGAGCAAAAACTCATTCAGGGAGGTGTCAGAACATGACAGCTTCAGCAGTGGAGGAATGTCGCGGAAGAAGTGACCCACGACATTGGGCCCACAAAAGGACAGTCTCCCCAAGCTTACTGTGTGTGTCAGGGAGTTGATCAGTCCACCTGTGTAGGAACCAACAGCGAGGGCTACACACTTTCTCCGAGACATGGCCATGTTGTACAGGAGAGGGTTGGCAATGGCCACATAACGATCGTAAGCCATCACTGAGAGCAGGAAGCCTTCCGTGGTGATGAACACCCCAAAAAACAAATGCTGTATGATGCAGCCGGAGAAGGAGATGGTTTCCCTCACCACCAATAGGGTGATCAGCAATTTTGGTGCAATGACGGAGGAATAGCAGGCATCTACAAATGAGAGGCAACTAAGAAAAAAGTACATCGGTGTGCTGAGCTTCGGGGAGATTTGGATTAAGAGGATCATGCTCACATTGCCCACCAACGTAATGATGTAAATCCCCAGGAACGGCACAAAAAGCACGACTTTCAATTCTTCTTGATCTGTCAGTCCCAAAAAAATGAACTCGGTAACAGGAGTAAAATTGCCTGCGGCCATTCCTTTTAGTGAACTCTGAGGTGGAAAAAGACAAGGGATTAGAATAGAAATGAAATAATCGGGCATTTATTCAAGATCAGCTACAAATGTTAATAGATACATTCTTAGATCAAAAGGATTATTTTGGAAAACCTAAGTGTTCTTATTTAAAATATTAGGTATTTAATTTAATGATCTCCCCCCCCCGTTTTTTTCTCTTTTGGGTTTTGAGACAGGGTCTTACTACATAGTTGAATCTGACCTGGAACTCACAGAGACCCTCCTGCCTCAGTCTCCTGGGTGCTGGGATTACAGACGTGCGCCACCATGCCTGGCCTTCCTCCCCTTTTGTAAAGTGACAGTTGTGATACAATGTCATAAAGCTCTCTATAAAATACATTTTGGCTGTAAAAACTCCAGTGTGCTTCTAGAGCTTCTGCACTATAGGAAGCTGATACCCACACGAGGAGCACTGATTGAAGGAAAGTTGCAAAATTAACTTCAAGCTCCATTTCAACTTGTTTGAAATGTAAAAAGAATTAGTGACAAAACATCCAAAATCCGTTGTGCTAGTCTCGAAGATGAAGTCATAGCGCACACTGAAGCACCGTCGATCTCACGGGTCTTCGGGAGCCTCCTGGGAGTCCTGTGGAGAAAGCCTCCATGGAACCGCATAGCTCTGAGACCCAGAGCACAAAAATCTGTGACTTGTCTAAGTGAAGCAATTCTGGAAGACATCATAGTTAATTCGATGTTCAGAAAAACAGTAATACATTTATGACACTGTGTTTATTTTCATTAAAGTGCACGTTTATACATAATGCATGAAATATTGCATCATTTTATTAATCTGTACATTATATAATACGTACACACTTAGAAGAGATTAAAATTTTAACTTTGGTTAGTTGCACTTACCTATTGGTCTACAACACGTTTTTATGTTGTTTGTATAATGCTGAATATTTATCATCATCATTTTCTAAGGTTTGTATTACAGACTTCAGTTACACTTCTAACTCAAAAGTATTATATTTTTATGACAATTAATGCATCCACAATAGAATAGAGGTCCCTCTCCCACTTTCTTTGTCCCTCTTAACCTCTGTCTCTCAGTTTACCATACTTTGTATTTGGTTGAGAATACGTTTTCGGAAATGAAGAAACAAATTCAGTGACCAAATTGAGGTTACCTATGTCATTTTTAGTGTCATTTCAGTTAACTCATGTTAATTGTCACAAAGAGTAATTATTGGCATGGGCCCAAGATGGGATTAAAAAAATATGGTGATGTTTTTACTAATTGTGTCACTTTGAGAAATCCATTTATCTTTTCCTTGGTGTAATTACACATGCCCTGCAGGACTTCTTTAAAATCAAATAAGAAATACCACATGTCAATGCTAAATGTTGCTTTAGGAGGACAATTTTTTAAATTATCGATAGACAATGAGGTAGATAACTATGTAGGTGAGTAATACATCCATGGATAAAAGCTGCCTGAGTGTTTTGCTTAGGGAATGATGATGTGAAGATGTATAAATCATGAAAAAGTTATCTTAATACTCAACCAGTTTCATGTTCCCAACTTTAAATCTCTGCTTTATTCTATTGGAAATGATAATTAACTTGATGTGAAAATTTATGCTTTACAATTTGCTCTAATAAACCACTCTATGATCGCTCACATGCTGTCTAGGAACTATCAAACTTTTTATGAAAATACAAACCTCATTCGATAAATTATGTTAAAAGCTGGCATTCGAGCTGATGATATTATTGTCAGACATCTAAATGTTTCAATACTATAAAAATACTTAGAAGGGTACACTGAATAGACAGTGAAATTGACTACTGTTAAATAAAATCAAATCTTCAGCCTTTGAAGCAGTCCCAAGGAATCATCAGCAGGTGTGTGTGGCTGGTGACCACTGCCTTGCACAGCACAGATTCACCGTGCTATGTGTTTCCACCGGAGTCTGCTCAACCTCAGCTGCTTTGCTTTAGAGTCCCCTTTGCATAACAAGGAAGATTTGCCTACTGCAAAGAATTTTAATTCCTAAGGCAGGTTACACAGGTCAATGAAATGGCTCCTAATATTCCAAATCATCATATGTTTCTATCAGAAAATCAAATTTCTAACTAATAACTCAAATAAAGAGAAAACAATTTTCACAAAATAAATGTAACTTACCAAAAGGAAGTATTTTAAAAGTTCGGATTTTGAAATTTCATGCCCTTCTCTTGAGTTTTTGTTCTTTGCTAAGAACCACTTTCAATGAAAGATGAAATGTAATACAGAGTTATAAAATATTTTCAGAGTATGTAGCTGAAGATACAATAATTATAGGTAAACGTTAACAACTGATAGATAAAAAAGCAATGAACAAATAAATAAAACCTCAACATTTTTCCTCTATGAGGACAAATTCAAACAAACAACACCAACATATATATTGCCAGCCTCTCCTGAGCCCCACCACAGCTTACGTATAACATAGAGCAGCAAATGAAACGTTAGGAAGGACTCTCTTTCTCAAGGGACAGTGGAATTTCCCGTGTTTCGCATATATCCCTAAAGTACATAATTGACTAAAATACCACACATAGTTGAAAAATAGCAAGCACCTTGGGGTTATTCTTGAATTTGGTAAAATATTATAGAAACAATAACTGAAAATTATTAACTCAGAACTGTACATCACCCATGCTAACTGGGTGGATATGACTAAGCCAGGTGTGTTTTTTGTAGATAGAGGAACAAGACGAATGTCACCACTAGTAAAGGCAGTTTCCAAGGAAACACACACACACACACACACACACACACACACGCACACACTCATCTATGCAGGAACATATACAAGAGAATATAAGGACTTTTGTGACTTTTGGGTTACCTGTTTTCCACCTGGACTGCCAATGTCACTATTTAGAATTTATTATGAAGAATCCATTTGGAGAATTATGGGTCTATCAAAATAACTTTTCCAATGCATTATATATAGTGGGCATTATTCTGCACAATAAGAATAAAGGGGCCATCAAAAATGATCAATTGTTCATTTTTTTTGAAACAATGAAACTAGGCTGGAGATTTAGCTTAGTGGTGCCATGCTTGCCTCGCAAGCACAAGGTCCTGAGTTGGATCCCTGGTACCCACCCAAAAAAAATCAATTACCGGTAGTAGATAAATCACAATAGGGATTATGGAAGTAACACACAAGGACTTTGAAATAGTTATGATCACTCACAATTATTGAATGATTAAACATGGATATTAAAAGGAAAAGCAGATTTACAATGAAGAAACTACTCAATTATTAATGCTAAATGTAGTAATGGTGAGAAATGTCTGTTCATTTCAGATGCCCATTTTTGGATTGGGTCTTTAAATTTGGGAGGTCTGACATTTTTAAGTCCTTTATATATTCTAGATAGTAGATCTTTGTCTGAGGAAGAGGTAATGAAGAGTTTTTCCCACATTGTGGGTTGTCTCTTCATAGTGTGTTGGTTGTTTCACTTGCTGTGCAGAAGCTTTTTGTAAGAAGAGATCCCATTTGTTGATTGATTGTACTAGTTCAAGGGCAACTGAGGTTTGGTTCATAAAACCTTTTCCTACGCCAATGTCTTCAAGATTTCTCAAAGAAGTGGAAATAGCAAATAAACATATGAAGAAATGTTCAACATCCTTGGTAATTCAAGAGATGCAAATGAAAAAAACACTGAAATTCCACCTCACCCCAGAAAGGGTTGCTATAAAATGAAATCAACCAATAACAAATGCTGGTGGGCTGTGGGGAAGGCGGATCCCTGCCCCACTGCTGTTGGGAGTGTGGACTGGTGCAAATCAGTGTGGAAATCAGTATGGAGACACCTCAAACTAGGATCGGAAGTCCCATTTGACCCAGTTATCTCCCTGCTGGGTTTCTTCCCAAAAGAATTTAAAGAATCACACCACAATAATATATGTAGACCCATGTTCATAGCAGCACAATTAGCTAAAACTTGGAAATAACCCAATTACCCATCAACAGGAGACTGGATAAAGAAAATGTAGGTTTTTTGTTTGTTTTATTTTGTTTTTTAATAAAATGGAGCACTGCCCAGCCATAAAACATGATAAACTAGAGACATTTATAGGTAAATGGATGCACATTGAGGCCATACTCTTAAATGAAAAAAATAGGCCAAACTTGTGTAAATAACAAATAGTTTATCCAGTGTGAGAAACTGAAAGAGTAAATAAGGGTTAAAAGGTGTAAGAGCTAAAGTGAAATAAGAAGAAAAGTTACAAAGGGGACGGGGAAGTGAGAAGCGAAGGGAAAAGAAAGAAGGGAATGAAATTAACACAAGAAAAAGAAAAAATAGAAACAAATTCTTTGTAAATATGGAGGGATGGAGGGGTTGAAGGGAGGGCAGAGGAATTGGGAAAAAATAAGAACCAAGATGGATTAGTAAAGGTGCAAATTTCTAATGATGATCTTTATTTTATATATTTTAAATGTGCCAATAAAATTAATTTTTAAAATGTAGTAATGTCGATAATTATTCTGTTGTTCATTTCCTCAGAGCAGATTTGACACTGCAGAAAAAACATTGTTATCTGAACTTGGGGAAATAACACTCACATTTATATACAAAGGCAGTGAGTTAACTTTTCAAAATTTGACAGATCTGTGGAATTTGAATACAGAAAAATAAAAGAAAAGATATGGATTAACTGAAATGTTGTGTTAAAATAAATATGAGCTAAAGTATATGGGTAAGTTCCTAGAACACTAAAAATATATCAAACTATAATTTTACTTATTTATTATCCAGTATCAGAGATTGAACTCAGGTCCTTGTGCTTGCGAGACAGGTTCCTGAACCACTGAGCTAAATCCCCCACTGAACTATGATTTTATATCATGAAAACACATAATTTCTAACTTTAAAGAAATATTTGACTTCCTTCTATCTCTGGTAATGATCAAATGGGCTTTGAGAGACAATTCCATGATTCACAAATATGCTAGAATTTTAAAAATTGAAAAAAAATCAAGAAAATTCTGAAATGCATTGAACACAAAGGAAAATAGACGCGTGCCGCCTCTTTTTTTAGTGAAGACCCAAAATATGAAGCATAGTGATAAAATATTTTTGAGTTTTGAAAATGTTTCTCTGTCTTTAAGTTTTACTTGATGAACACAAACCAAACATCCTCTTCAATAAGACTCTTTGATTTGTATAATTTAGATCTTTGTTTCTCTGTACCTAACTTTTCATAGTCCTGAGAAACATTTCAATCATAAAAGAGGCCCTTGATTCAATGTTTATTTAACACTAGATTTTAATTTTAAGATTACATTGATTTTATCCAAGTGACTGTACCTAAAATGAATTATATATATGCCTAATACAGAGTCTCATTAAAATTGTTTTAATGCAGTATATTAATACAAGTTCTATCCATGTGTAGTATTTCTTGAGCTTTAATTTTTGTCTCATTGTGAGTGAATACCTTTAAGGCATGTAAGTCTCCAGAGAATTACACAGATCAGCTATGATTTTTGTTCCTCCCTTTGAGATGTCCCTTACATTTTCTCAAGGGACAATATGCTGAGTTCTTAAATCATTACTAGGTATATGAAAGCATCTTTTAGTAAGCCAGAAGATTTGGCATACTGATCTGATGAATTAAATATTATCTATTCAGGGAACAGCAAAAGAGGGAGAAACCCATAAATTCTCCCTATGCAAAGCAAAACTATGTGTAATATGAAAAACATTTTAATCCAGCACTAAACGTGAGTAGAAATTATTTTTCTTTTTGATGATCTCTCACTACTTCAGGCTCCTGAGCATAGACTTCTGTGGGAACTGTCAGAAGATTTCTTCAAATACAGGGCAAAAAGCATTACCTGCTTTGCCAATTAGGGTTTCTGTTGTAGCATGGTATTTTTAGACTTTTAAGTGCTATTAATAAAATGTGTATCCTCAATCAATGAGTTCCAAAAGTTGATATAAATATTTGGAAATTCTAATGAAAAAGAAATTACAAACACCTGAAACATTGTCACAAATCTTATTTCCTAGGATCTATTAAGATTAAGATTTCCACATGGATGAGATGTCCAGTTATATTTGATTTTCACATAAAGAATAGCCCATCGTAGTATGTATATAATATGCAATCTCTAATACATGACAAGTATAATTTTAATATGTATATATGATGCAATATTTATAAATGCAAGTATTTACTATGTCATATTTTATAAATTCAATGATTTTTATGTAATGACATTGCATACACAAATTTGCAAATTTTTGTCTTAGGGTTTTTTGCTACTGGGTTGTTTACTATGAGATTACTTTGATAAATAGTTACTATAAACTGACAAATGAGGGGAAAAAATGAAGAGTTACAGAACTTTGGAGAAATTGCTGAACTTGAAATTCCTCCTAACAAATTTACCAGATCGCAAAATGGAAATAGTAACTTTTTTCACACAACAGTATTCAGAGTAAAAACATGCAGATACCCTTAGAGCTACATTGTAGCTGACACAGCAAATCCTGCATCTCACAGGATTGAAGCATAAGGATAAAATATTTTTGAGTTTTAAAAATGCTTCTCTATCTTAAGTATTACTTAATGAATGCAAAGGAAACATCCTTTTTAATAAGATTATTCAATTTGTATAATTTAGATCTTTGTTTCTGACATTGAACCTAGGGCATCAGCCCTGGCAACATTTCAGATTCAAAATTAACTTCTCAAAGAGACAGGCTGGGGTTTCTATTTGAAGGTGAAGAAAGGATCTGAAATAAGACTAGCAATCAATGGAGAAAGAGTAGACACCTTCATCCTGGAGGAAGACACGGAAGTAGCTAAGCAAACTCCGGGGACCCCTCCTCCCCAGGACCCACTCCCTGTATCAGAAAGGCAGGGTAGACACCGAGATCGCCACTGCAGTGCTACTAAATTCCAGTTCTCCATTTGCGCTGAGCTCAGAGGCTTTGGACCTGAGAGCTGCCCAGGTTCAAGTTGGGTTTGGATTACACTAATAATTTCATCCTTTATTTTGCTACACTGTGATATTCATTTACTCCAGTTAAAAATCATACAGAGCTCCAGGTTTTCAGTGACCATAAACAAAATGTCGCAGGTAGAATATCCACGTGAATTAAGATAAATCAGCTTTGGTATCTTTAATCAAAGCAGTTCTATTTTGTTTACTGGTTCACTTAAATTCATAAAATTTAAAGTTTACAAAGAAAAAACTGTGTAGTTTTTGCACAGAAGAAATAAAGTCACTCTTTTGATTATTCCCTATATGGCTTTGCCTTCAGTGGAAATGTTTCAAACTTCATTCATTGTATTTAAAGTTTACATCATAAAAATTTAGGTGTTTTGTATGGATCCTTAACTTTGGGAGGTGGAGTATGTTATCATTTATCCTTATTTCAAATTCAGATGTAGAATTTATTTGGGTTGCCTTGATAATGAATTAAAATTTCAAATTTTCTATAAATCTTGCATTGATCATGGTGCAGTGGGACAGTTAATAACCCCTCCTGTTTCTTCCTACAACACATAGAACTGTATCACCCGGATGGGACACTCAAACCTAACAGGGCCGCCTGACTTCATTCTGCTGGGACTCACAAGGCTGCCGGAGCTACAGCTTCCCCTGTTTGGGATCTTCCTCTCCATCTACACAGTCACAGTGGTGGGCAACCTGGGCATGATCATTCTGACCAAGCTGGACGCCCGTCTGCACACACCCATGTATTTTTTCATCCGACATCTGGCTATCATTGACCTTGGCAATTCCACTGTCATTTGTCCCAAGATGCTGGTGAATTTTGTTGTGGATCATAATACCATTTCCTATTATGCCTATGCCCTGCAGATGGCCTTCTTCATCATGTTCATTGTCAGTGAACTGTCCATTTTGTCAGCCATGGCCTACGACCGCTACGTGGCCATCTGCCACCCTCTGCTCTACGGCGCCATCATGTCCCAGACACGCTGCCAGGCGCTGGTGGGCATTCCCTACCTGTACAGTAGCTTTCAGGCTCTACTGTTCCCTATCAAGTATTTCACATCGACCTTCTGTGGCTCTAACATCATCAGTCACTTCTACTGTGATGTTGTCCCCTTGTCACCTCTGATCTGCTCACAGGCACAAGAAACAGAGCTGTTGACCATGCTGTTCTCAGCATTCAATTTGATCTCCTCCCTCCTCATTGTTCTTCTGTCCTATGTGCTGATCCTCTCAGCAATTTGTCGGATGAAATCTGCAAAGGGAAGGAGGAAAGCTTTCTCCACCTGTGCTTCCCACCTGACGGTGGTGGTGGTCTTCTACGGGACTCTGCTGTTCATGTACGTGCAGCCCAAATCTGCTAATTCCTTGGAAACCAATAAACTGGCCTCTGTCTTTTACACGTTAGTGATCCCCATGCTAAACCCTTTAATCTACAGCTTTCGGAACAAAGAGGTAAAAAATGCTTTCCATAGGGTTTTTAAGCAGCGATGCAAGCTTTGTGTTTAGTATTCAGTATTGCATAGGGTTATAACAAATTATAATAAAGGCAAATGTCACATGATAATATTTCTCATAAAAACTACTGCACAGGTTTTAGCTCCAGAACATACAAGCAGATTGTTCTTTCAATTTAGCTAAGCTAAACCTCGATTAAACATCGATTGGATGTGACTTTCTTTTTTTTTTCAGCTTTAATTGAGTTTATTGGTACATTTTAGGGATACGGTACAGTTACATTCACTGTTGGGATCTTGTACCTCTACATGACAAGTCTTGATTCTCATTTTTTTTCTTAGCACTCCTTCACTCCTTAGTTCTGAGTCAATGTGTCGTCTGCAGATAGAGTGAACACGTATGAAATTCTCCATCTGTAAACTATGTCTGTTTCTGTCAGTTTGGGGGTGGACAGATATGCTCCTTAATCTGTTTTAACTGTGTTTTCTGAATCAAAACAAAAATATAAACACACTGAATTTCTTACAGATAGTAAGGTTCAAAGGGACCCTAGGAAATAAAACATCACCAGCTCACTAGCTCAGACACCATTCTTACTGCTGTTGTCTACCTTATTATTGTGGGACCCAAAATGTTGGTAATTTTTCTTATGAATCACAAAAAAATATATTTCTTTTTTGTGTTCATCATTAGGGATCTTTTTGTTTTGTCATCGATTTCCCTCTGTAACCTTGTAATGCTGTCTACACAGTCGTGAAGACACAGAGGGTTTTGTTAGATGCTCCCAGCAATTGCTTCCCTCTTTGTGTTCCGCCTCTCCTAGTAACCATAAAATTGTATGTCATCCTGTGTGAATCGTGTCCTCTGTGTTTTCTCCTGAGGCAGTCTGCCCTTACTATGTTTGCTGTGCTTCAACACTCATGAATTAGAGGTGATAATTCTGATTATTATGTGTTCAATGTTTCATTGTGTTTTCTCTTCGGGATGCCCTTATGTCTTATCTCCTTATTCTCATAACCATTCTCAGGGTGAGAGCTCCTCAGGCAGCTGCAAGGATTTTTCCACCTGGAAATCTGCCCTACGGGTTGCAGCTGCCACAGCGTTCTATGGGACTTGAGTTTTCTGCATGGGTCATCGAAGCCCTGCACTTTCTTTGACATTGACCAATGAGCATACATATTTCATAACCTGATTATATGCAAGTCCGTCAAGTTCGACTGAAGCTCCATATTTTTAACTGGACAAATTTGTAATTGTGCCTGATGCCAGTTATATTCAGGGTACGCGAAGACTTTACGTACTCAGTCATAGGAGTAAGCTCAGAGTAAACTATTTCCAACATTGTGGTCACACGTTTTCTACTGAATACGTTTTTTCCCTTTCAGATCTGTCAATGGAATATATTTTGTAATTCAGTAATTCATAGGTTCTGATTGTACCTAACTTTTTCCTCTGTCTTCCCATTCTTTGATATCAGGTGATACAACATAAAAGATAAAATGTTTAACACTTTTATAAAACCTCTTAAGTTTGTTTTGTTTTCCCAGTTATTCTCACTGTGTAACTGACTGCTTGGATTCATGGATTTTTATCTGGAAAAAGCAATCACTCCTTTAAGAGATATATTTCAGGTTTTGTGTTTGTGTTATTAAGAGGACATTAATTCAACCAATTAATTCTTTGCCCTTCTTTCAAAGGGGGGTTCTGTCTCTATCTTCTTCTTTTTTTGTTTGTTTGTTTGTTTGTTTGTTTTGTGTTTGTTTTTTTAGACAGGATCTCACTATGTAGTTGAGATTGACCTGGAACTCACTATGTAGCCCAGGATGGTCTCAAACTCACAGTGATCCTCCTGCCTCAGCCTCCCAAGTGCTGGGATTACAGGGATGTGCCACCACGCCCGGCCTCTAAATTTCAATCAATATGTTGATGTGCTATATTTTCATTGACTTTTATTGTTTTATTGCTTTGTTGATCTTTTTTTGAGTTGCACAAGGATAGGGTGTACAAGTTAAGTGAAAAGATTTTATTTTGTATAAAATACATTGGCAATGGCAAATAGATATTACCAAATTGCTGATGTCTCTAAAATGAAGTTTTAGGTAGACATCAGAACTATCAGGCAGTACCACACTCTCACACTTACTGAGAGTGAGTACTGTATCATAAGCATTAGTTGTGTGTTAGAGAAGTAATCAAAATAGCTTTGGGAGAAGTTGTAAGAGTTCCATCATGGAAGATTTGGAAAGGTGAGCAGATATAGTTTACCAAAATACTAGATTTTAGAAACAGATTTCACAGACAGGTGATCTATCTCTAGATTTTGTGTTCTTAACAACTATCCTATATTGTCTCTTTGGCTTCACCAATGTCACCCTTATAAGAGAAGGCGGGGGGCGGTGAGGATTTATAAGATGAATAAGTTCCTTAGAATCCACGGTATAATATGGTGACCATAGTTCGTAGTCCTTTATTGCTCAATTGAAATTTTATTAGAGAACAGATATGAAGAGTCTTTGCCCCTCCCCAGCTCTCACAAACCTGCACAAGTAGTTTAACTATGAATGGTGATGAATGAGTTAGTTAATTAGATCTTGGTAATCAGGATACACTGTGCCTGCTGGTACCTCTAATAATCACCTTAGTTGTTATGAATACACAATGTATAATTGTCGACTGTTTACAACACAATATAAAAAGAGCAATGAATCTCTAGAACATACCAAACCAGAAAATGAATTCATGAAAGGTATACTTTATCAATTAATGAATTGATTCAGTAATATAAGCTAATTAGGCCATTCTAGATTAATGGTATTACTCAAACAGGAAGACATCACCAAACCTATGGATGGCGGTAAAACTTTGAACAGAATTACAATAAATTGTGGAGCCTAGGGGGCAAGCATTCACATTAATTAAACAGTCAAAAACATGCTAATGCAGAATTTTGAAAAAGTGTTTCTATTTAATAATTTCACTCTCCAGAAAGTCACACTGAGAAATGAAAACTGAGGAAGAGAATTTTGTAAAGAGTAGCTGCTAGATACTATGCTGCTAGATAATATGTGCAGGAGGAAATCTGCTGAGGACCATTCATAACAGATGATGTTTCTGTAGCACAAAAGAGAAGTCTGCAACAGAAATAAACTTCTCCCTCTTAGACTGGTACCATTTTGTGTCAGCTTCATCAAATTTGGAACATTAATTCAAGGATAACACAATGCCAAGTACTCTGGCTCTGATCATGTTGAGCTACTGAGTGAATGAAAGCAAATCCAAAAGGCTTTGATACCACAACACCATCTGTGGGTACAGCGTGAGGCAGAAGAGTTTCTGCCTCCTGCTCAGTGGACTCTTAGAAGAGCAAAATTAATAAACACGAGGTAAATGGCCAAAATTTAGAAAGTCGCAAGGCAATGTTCCAGGAAACATTAAAATCCAAAACTAAATTTGTGGTGATATCATAAGGTGACAGCACAGAATCACAGAACATTGGGTCTACAACATCGGGTCCACAACAGGCCAGTGTCCCGAGCACAGTGTGTGCGTCCGTGGGGTAACTGCCCACCTGCAGAGGACCAATAGCAGCACTGCACACTGTGCATACCTGTGCCACTGCCAAACAAGGACACGTTGGGATGGAGAGAGTCACAGGGGTTCAGGGGTCACGAACCACTTCTGAGCAAGAAGCCTCTGTGATAATGAAAACCCCACAGAACAAAAGCCGTACACACGTGCACGTAGAAAAGAACATGGGTTCCACTGTGCTAGATAAAAGGCAACTGAGGAAGGGGCACATGCGTGTGTTGAACTTGGATTTGAGCTGAAGTAAGAGAATGATTCTTCACCAAGGAAATGGCATAAGTCACCAGGAACAACCCAAAAAGCACAGGGTTAAATTCTTTGCCACCTACCAGTCCCCCTTGTGAAAGCCAGTAAAAATTGTGAAATAATTCTCAGCGATTTGGTCATTTATTTTCTTGAAATGTTAGTTGAGAAGGATCCGAGATTTAAAACAAATACAGGAGAATATGGAACTCATTAAAAGCAAACTGAAACATCTATGGACCCGTGTCCTTGGATAAATGAATATTATTTTCTGAATTTAAGTCTCCTCATTAATAATCTTAGGGATTTTATTTTGTTTTTATCGTGTGACTTAAGGTTGTTTTTCATTAAAAAATATGAATAAAGAATTTTGGTTCTCAAACTTTCAGCCACTTCCATAAAGTTTCTACCATGATATATCAAGGTGACACAGAAGACTCATTGAGAATGACAGAAAAGTAGTCATAAAATTACATTAAACCTACTTCCTAACATTTGACTTGGATATAAAAGAAGTAAATGATAAAAGCTCCAATTGCCCATCAACTGGAGATTGGATAAAGAAAATGTGTTTTTGCTTTTGTTTTGTTTTTATAAACTTGAGTACTACTCAGCCATAAAGAATGAAAAACTAGAGACATTTACAGCTAAGTGGATGTACATTGAGGCCATACTCCTAAATGAAATTAATAACATACACATGTGTAAATACCAAATAGTTTCTCTAGTGTGAAAAACTAAAAGTGTAAACAAGGATCAAAATGTAATATTGATATTGTGTCATAGGAAGAAAAGGTCTAAAGTAGTAAAGGAAGTGGGAGGGGTAGGGGAAAGGTGAGAAATGAACAGAAAAAATATGAGAAAAGATAAAAATAGAAACAAAGTCTTTGTCAACAGAGAAGGGTGGATGGGGTGGAAGGGAGGGCAGGGGAAGGGGGAAAAAGTAAGAACCAAGATAGGTCAGGTAAAGGTAAATGTATTGTATACATAAAACTTACCAATAAACTTTACGGGAAAAACAAAGAATTGAAAAGTGCCAATTCATTAAAACAATTGTAAATGTTTATGTCCCCAACACCGCTGCACATTTATATATGAAGACATGAGGAGTGAAATGGACAGTAATACAATACTTTCCAATACTCTATATAAGAAAAATAAATAAAAGTATACAGCTACAGAAAGGAAAAATAAAATTACCTATATGGAGAAATCCCCAAAAG